TGACTCATTCCATGATTTATAAGCCTTATACATAATGGCGAACGTTTTAGTCACAAGCCCATAGTTAGTCTCTGCCATCTCATTTACAACACCTTCCATTTCTTCAAAACGTTTTTGGGATCCATACATCATGATCTTACAGTGGTAGAGAGATCTGCATAGTTTCCACCCAGCAGACTCAGCACGCTTGACGAAATTAGCAAGATTGTCAACTTCATTAAACCTGAAGTAAGCTGCAATGATTGCCCGCATAATACTTGACTTATTAACACATGTCTTATGCTCAAATGCCTCGTTGATTTTACTCTCCATTGCTTCCACAATGTCTTCTTGAGCATATAGTCGAATCAAAAGCACGTTCAACCAAGGAAGATATTCCTCCCCAGAGAGAAGACTCAATAAATTTTCAACCTTTTGGACTCTATCCTCAACAGCTTTCTTACAATATGCACAGATCATCGCTCTGACCAAAGGACCACTGTTTACACCAACCTGATCTTTAATCACTTCATACATTTCTTCCATCTTATTCAAATTCCCAGAATTTGCATACCCACGAAGCATTAGCTGATAAGTATCTGTATCTGGCTCAACTAGACCCCTCTTCATTTCTTGAAAAGTAGCTTCCATTTTATCCCAATTCCAGGCAGTCATGTAACCAGCAATCAGAAAGTTGTAAGTGACAGAATTGGGAGAAAGCTTCAGTTTTTGTAATTCTTCGAAAGCTGCTTCCATATTCTTTACCATCAGAAGTCTACCATAAAAAGATACTAGAATATTATAGGTCACAACGGTCGGAGCACAATGCGTTTGCCTCCTGAAATCTTTAAAAAGCGACTGACATTCATCAGCAAGCCCGTTCCACATGTAAACACTCATCAAAGCATTGTAAACTGAAGCAGTCTGACTTCGTTTCTTAGCCGCCTCATCGAAAAGATAGACTGCAAGGTTAATATCCCTAGCTCGACCCGCAATTTTGATTCCTTTCGCATACTCCTCCGATGTCAAAGGGATACAGTAATCCTTCTGCCCTCTCCTCCACTCTAAAACCTGAACATTAACATAACATCAAAACCTAAGAAACAAACTCAACTAATCGACAGTGAAGCTACATTCTTTCCCACAAGAACAATCCACTAACGATATACCAAAAGACCAGGGCAGAGGCAAGATTCAAACTTTATGGACTACAAGAGATAGAAGAAGAAAAGAAACCTGAAGAGCTAAGTAATGACGAGGAAAGAGTTGATCCATAAGCTCCAAGATCCCAGCACCATCACGATAACTTTTAAACAACCATTGCCCTTTCTGATCCAAAACGTTTTGGAACTTTTCCTTACTATTACCAATCGTTAAAAGCTCGTCTTTTAAAATCGAAACCCTTTGAACCAAATCAGTGTGATGAGCTGGTAAGCTAGTTACACGGGTGAATTTGCCGATAATTTGACTGCTGAATTTCATAAAATTCGATGTCATGGATTACAAATTCTCTCTTTGGATTACTAGTAGACAGAATCGGATCTGCAAATTGTGCAGAGCCCCCCAAAATTAGGGTTTATGGTAGGAGAAGAAGAAGAAGAAGAAGAAGAAGAAGAAGAATAATGATAAATGAGGTTTTGGGCCTGAGGCCATAGACAATGGCTGGGAAATGGTCATAAACTTCGGTTAAGTGAACCGGTTCATTCAACCATATGCTAATTGTACTTCGGTTACCATTCACAATTTTAAAATTTAATTGCATTTCTTATGTATTTTACTGAACCTGTTTTTTATTGGTGTTTTTGATATAAAATAATTTATATCAGATCAAATGTTAAAACTCAATAAATTTAAGATTTTATAAAAGCCTTGCTAGTTTTGTCCAAAAAAAATAAAATAAAAGCCTTCCTACTCTTTCTACTTCAAAACTATATGATATATATATTTTTTTATAAGTCCTATCGGCTGATCCGGTCAGTCAGGCCCAGCCCGATGGTAAAGCAGATGAAGCATTGGTTTTAGGCCACATTATATTTAAATAATTATAAGGCCATATTTAACTAAAATGGTCGTGCACTTAGGTAATAGTCACCAGCCAAGTTCGAAACATATTAGTTAGACAGGTCTTTTTTTTTAGACAAATTGACTTTTTGGACAAAGTTAGACAGCTCATTTTCTGTATTATTTCTTCTACAATAACTTTCTTTTTTCTAACTCCTAACATTCTAAATTTATTGCTGTAAAAAAAAAAAAAATTCTAAATTTCTTAAATATATTCTCAAAAACCTATAATAATATTACAAAACTTGGAAGAATTCTCCAAATCTGTTTATATCAAGATTTTGTAAATGTTAGCTAATTAGATATAACTAAAATAAAAAAAAATTTGAACCATATGAGGTATTAAATAATTTCTCTCATATTTTTAAAATTATATTTTGTTAAAATAGGTTTGAACATATTCTCTGAAAAAAAAAATTTAGATCTTATCATTTTCAAAAAAATTCATTTTACTTTGTATACAATGTAACTAATATTAAAAATATATAAAAGTTAAATATAAATAAATTTGGTACCTTAAATATTAAGGCCACATTTTTTAAAATGCTTTAGGCCTCTATAAGTTTAGGACCGGCCCTGCGGTCAACCCTAGTAGAAACGCACCGAAGTGCTTCAGAGTGGACTACTCCCCGAAGGTCCACTATACTATCTGTCCCGAGTTTGAAATGCTTTCCGACTAATGTCAGGGGTAGCAAGATCGCCTTATACTATACTACCAGGTAAACTGCTTCGGCCAAGACTTCTCACACAAATGTGTTTTTTGTTTCCAGCGTGGATCGAACCTGGGTTAGTTCCTTCCAACTTTTCCCCAATTTTCAACTACCACTAGATAACAGCTGTGTGGACAACTATATGATATTTTAGTTAAAAATATGTAATTTAATTTTTTTTTATTTTTTTAGAACTATCATTTAATATTTAAATTTTATAGAATAAATTAGTTACAAAAAAGACTAGAAAATACAAATAGTCACAAATGTTGGTGTCGGATCTGCACCAGTAGTTTGGGACCAACCAAAGATTGCCACGTAGTCAGGATAACGGCCCATAAGGGATAAAACCCATTAGACCCGCAAGTCAAAGGAACAGTCGAAGTGGTTATCAGCATAAGGAGAATCCGAAGTGACTGCACCTCGACACGAGTCCAGAGACGAAGTCGCAGTTAAGTCGGTCCAAGGATATTTTGGGCCAAAAAGGCGAGGCCCATGGAGATCGGAGTCAACTCAAATTTGAACGTTGAGCATTAAAATCAAAGATCAAAACGGACACATTTAAGAAAGAATAATTGTACTTAATT